ATATATATATATAAAGAAAAAAACTGAGCCACTGTATTTTAGTGCACCTTCAAAAGCCTCCACAAATTCTTATCATATATTGGGGGACCTAACTATAAGTTCCTTGTTTACCAAAAAACAAAAAGAAAAGGACAAATTCTATTTAATGTCATTTCTTTTCATATCATTTTATGTCCCCACATAAGGAAAATCTAGTGGTCTAAATGAAAACCCTATCATTTTACGTTCCCACAGGCCACAGAAGTTCACATCAAATGGATTTCTGAAGAAAATCTATCAGAAAACACATGCACAAAGTAACAAAATACTCAAATGACAATTTTGAGTTGTGATGAGTGAATGAGTGACCGCAACTTTTTCTCTGTTTTAATTTATATACTATAGTTTAAAATAATGTTATTTTAAAAAAAAAAATATTATACTACTAGAAAATAGCTAAATTCCTCCGATTGAAGTCGTTAGAAAAGATGTGATCTCGTCAGGTTTGATTTTTATCAAGTGTTTCTATGAAGGGCTTTCCGGCTGAATGAATCCAATCAGAAAGAAAATAAATAAAAAAAGATAAATGAGAGTAAAAGGTAGCATAAATAAATTATGTATATTAAAAATATTAGCAAGAAAAAGAAAATATTTATAAAGTTAAAGCTTTAATAAAATAAAATTGTCTTAATTTCACTCTCTTTAAGAAAGTAAATTGTATTTTCTTTGTCATCATAACATTTAGGGAACAAATAATTTCGCTACAAAATAGTCCAAAAGGGTAATAAGGCCCCGGTAAAATATAGATATGTAGTTAAAAATTGGCTAATAAGTTGGGCGACATTTGACTTTTTTTTTTTTTTTCCTTTTAAATTTTCTGGGGATGAAAGTGTGTAAGACCATGATGAAAATTATTTAATGCATAGTAAATGTTGAACTTGAATTATTACACCCTTAAGAAAGTCACAACTGTATCAACGTTTACCAGTGAAAATTCATAATTGAAATTCAGAATTTCGTTGAGATCACATCATCCGCTCGTCAGCTTTTGATGAGACCTTACTTTTTGAAGACTCCAATTTTTATGAGTTGTTAGTAGTAGCGTTTTGAGGTGTTGTGGGTCATGTCCCTAACACCTATCTTTATATAGTAGAGACTTCATAGATAGACAGTTTAGTTTTAGATATTTTAGTTAAAACTTAATGTTTGATACTCGGTATTTTCAAATAGTTTTGAGATTTAATAAACTGTTTTTAAATAATTTTTCAGTTTTGATTCTTGTGTATGCTTGAGTTAGTCTTCCATTTAATAATCAGTCATGACAAGGATTCACTTGGCGACCAACAATAGTTCTCGAGTCAACCATGTCTAGGATGTAAAGTCGGAACGTGACAATTCTTTAGTCAAGCAATGAGAAAGATTGATTGGTCGTTCTTCTAATTCATTTGTGCTTCTTGGGAAAAAAAGGTTTATTTTTTTATGTATAATATAATAATATCATGAATTAATTATTTGAATTGTACCTTTTAATAAATATAAACAATAATAATTTTTAACTATACTTTTTAATTATTACCATACATAATAGTACTACGTAGTAGGTATTTAAAACAGATTTCTCTCTCTCGCTCTCGTTCAATATTGATGCGCTCTTTCTCTTTCTTGCCCATCTCTTTTTTTATCATCTATTTTCTCATTTCTTTCTCATCTATGTCAGTCGTTGAATCTCCACAATCTATTTTTTTAATTAAAATTGGGCATGTAGCCCATTTATTAAATTACTAACTATACAAAGAGAAAATGAGCCAAATGACCCATTTCAGGAAAGAAATAACAGAAAATGACAAAAGAACAAAACAAAGGAAAATGAAGAGACAGAATGAAGACCATTCACGAGACATCAGTGAATGCAGCCTCTGGCTAAGCTCCGATGAAGGTTTCTCCGGGCAACCTCCGAGCTAAGCTTTAACCATCTTCTTCATTGGCTTGAGTTTCCTAGCTCTTCGCTGTGACTATCGCCTTCCACCATTGAAGATATGTGCCTCTTAGCTCTCTGAATCGAAGATACATCAGGTACACTTCAATGTCGATTAATCTTTAATGTGTTAGCTAAAACCAGCCGCTCTAGTACAAAATTATACTATGTGAATCTCTTACTCCCAAGGCTTCTTCTGGTAATTTAGTAGGAATAAAACTTTAAATCTGTCCTCAATGTTCATCTCCGGTAGGAAATCAGGATGTAGACTTTTAAGGAATAATTTAAAGTTAAACCCACTAGTTTATCATGATAATTAATCAACATTTGATCCGTCGCTCAAATTTAATTTTCATTTTTTTTAAATTTCCAAAAGGGGACGCAGTCCGTCGCTTTTGTGGAAATTTTATTTTTGAAAATTCCAGTAAAGCGGTGGACAAAAGGACCCTGTCCGTCGCTTTTCTGGTTTTAAATTTTTTTAAAACCCAGAAAAGCGACAGACAAAACCACATTGTCCGTCGCTTTTTTGGGTTTTTAAAAAAATTAAAACCCAGAAAAGCGACGGACTAAACCTCGCTGTCCGTCGCTTTTTCTACAGTTTTTTTGACAGCTGCCCACCTGCAAATTCAATTCAATTCAATTCTACACTATTCAACTCAATCAAACATACACAATTATAAACAATCTACACAAAACATGAAACAACAAACTTAAAATAACATTCAAAAGTATCTAAAACAAAATTTAAAGACTTATAAAAGTCTTTCAAAATTCGTTTCAAAATT